GAAAAAAAAAAAAAAGAAAGAAAAGGAAATGAAGTAAAAAGACAGGAAAACAAATGCAATAAGATCAAAAATTTTCTCCACACTAACCAATTCTTTATGGTTTTTATCCAGTTGTTCAGTTTCACTACGTAGGTTATCTAACTCGATTTGAAGTGGGTCAATAGATGAAGAAGGTGGTAAACTTCCGTAAGCAAGTTGATGGCTAGGATTGACAACGTAGCTGGGACCCTCAGAATGGCTTGCTTGTGACCCAAGTTGAAAAGCAGCTTCATTTGCCCGTTCAGAAGTACGAGTCACTACCTGAGAGGGTGGAATCACATCATTCTCAGAAACAGCAGGCACTTCAGCACTTTGTCTAGGATTTGATGGTGCCCCGGCCACTGTTTCATGCTCTGACGTAACACGGGCCACATATGCTTGATTCAAAGGTACACTTGTCACAATTTCATTATCCGTCTGGACACGGGTCACGGTTTCATTATCCGTAGGCACACGGGTCACAATTTCATTATCCGTCTGCACACCGGTCACGGTTTCATTATCCGTAGGCACACGGGTCACAATTTCATTATCCGTCTGCATAGCGGTCACAGTTTCCTTATCCGTAGGAACAGAATTAACAGATTCATCAGCCCCTGGAGCTTCTTCCTGATTTGACAGTGCAGGAGTCACAGTGTTGATGAGTTCAGTTTGAACCTGCAAAGTATTTTGATTTTCCACAGCTGGCGACTCAGATGCCAAACTCTGGTTGGTTGTATCCTGCTGCACCTATCACAAACATTACTTATTATTTTTTCGCAGTTCAATTCATGTATCCTCAGATAAAGTTTAGCAATAATTACTGCACATGAAAAAAACTAGAGCAAAATGGCAGGTGGAGGGCAGCAATTCACTTATTAGTGAACTTGGCACCACAACCTGAAAATAAGATATATTCAATATTCTTTAACAGACTCAATATATTTGAAAATAATCCTCCGCATGCCACAATAAAAATGCCAATCGCACTACACAGAGATGCAACCGTTCTAATTTGGCTGACGCTGTTAACTTTCACCTGACCGATAAACTAAGTACAAATGAAACAAGGTAACATTGATAATTGGCTTGAGGAAAAGCACGTACTTTCTGTGATGACAAGTTGCCACAATCCGGCAAAGCTGCATTTCCTTCCGATTGGACAACCTGAAAATAAGATATATTCAATATTCTTTAACAGACTCAATATGTTTGAAAATAATCCTCCGCATGCCACAATAAAAAATGCCAATCGCACTACACAGAGATGCAACCATTCTAATTTGGCTGACGCTGTTAACTTTCACCTGACCGATAAACTAAGTACAAATGAAATGAAGGTAACATTGATATTTGTCTTGAGAAAAAGCACGTACTTTCTGTGATGACAAGTTGCCACAATCTGGCAAAGCTGCATTTCCTTCCAATTGGACAACCGGCTGTTTCAGGCCTTGTGAATCCCCAACAGCGGCCTCATCAGGCCCACATCTCTCGTCCACCACAGCATCAGGTGAAGCAACATTGCCTCCATCTTTTTCTGATGCATTTATTTCATCAGGAACCTGGTCCACAGAAGCAGGTGGATCCGGAAGAACTACAGATTCGTCATTATCACTCGTTTGCTTCGGTTGACTGGCAGGCTCTGTGCCTTCTTCTGGTGCAGGAACAGTTCCTGAATTCTCAACACTCATCTCACATCCTACTGCCTCGTCAGATGGTCCGTTCGGCTGAGAGCCTTCATTAGCATGCTCCTCAGATTGAGGGACAAGTGGCACGAGCTCACCAACAGAACCTGGGCAACTCAAGTTGCGTTCTGCTTTGGCCATCCATCCAGCTGTCCTTTTCTCCTCCTCTTCGATCTCTCCCACCTGCCGTGCCTCCAGAGCTTTAAGGTCCAGATCCTTTTGGAGGTTGAGCTCCTTTAGTTTCGTGTTAAAGTCATTATCCAAAAGCCTGAGTTTGTCCATCCCAGCCAAGCTCTGACCATGCACGGTCCGAACAAAGGCCGATTCCAGTTTGTGGTCCATCTCGAGTTTTGACCTCTCCTTCTGCCATTTCACGTGGAACTCACGGAGCTCCTGTTGATGACCTTGTAAAAGTTTCTTCCTACGCTTTTTAATCTTTTTCTGCAATTTCTTTAGGTTGCCTGTCGGAGCAGCTTCCTTCTTATTGATGTTTTCCTCGGCAACGTGTCGTCCTGAGTTGATGATTTCATTTGCGGATTTGGACATCTCCTTGAGAATGAAATAAACCGAGTAAGCTTGTTCTTCATTGCATTGATAGCTCAGATGTTGCTTGGCTAGCGTTAGAGACTCCTTCTTGTCAATCTTGGTTTTCGTGATTGCTGCTGCAATCCAACACTGATAGAGCAAAGAATCATATCTCTTAGGGTGTGCATGAGTAGACAGATAAAACTCTATTTTGCTTTAGAAATGAAAATAGTGCATTTTTTTTAACAAAATCATTTCTCCTTTTATAATAGTATAGATAGATGAAATCAAATCAATAAATAAAAGCTCTCTGTCATACATTTGGAGAGCCTTTTTGGGTTTCATGAATCTGTTTGACGAAATTATTCAAAAACTGACCAGAGAAATTTGGAGAGCCTGCACGACTGATTGTGAGTCAGTGTTGACACAACGCTTTGAGATGACATATTCCAAAAATCTCAATGCTTCAACAATGACATCCTCCTGGATTTAAGGCAATGTCAACATGTGAAAAAAGTAGATAATTAAAAATCGAATAAGGTGATTTCACTTAAGTAGCAGGACTGTAACTATGAGGTTTCACACCTGATACAGAAATCAGAATCACTTCAAACATTAAAAAGATGATAAAATGGGATAGATGAACTTCAAGAGTACTAGATTATGAACCAAGAAATTTAACTAAAAATAATATGTATGTGAACTTGGTGATGAACAGAAATAATCAACTTAAGCAAGTATATAAATTCAGCAATCAGTCTAGCAACAAGACCAGAAAGAACAAGTATGAAGCAAGCATGTGACGAAGCAAGATTATGAAGAAGGAACACTAAAAGTTTGGTACCGAAAAGTTAAGAACTTGGCAGAGTCTCATCATCTCTGCTTTCAAAGAGCTGTGGAGGGCATTACGCTCATCAGATGATACAATTCTTCCCCCTGGCATACCTTCAGAAACCCTAGCACCAAAAGGGCTGCAACCAGAAATGCCATTTGGAATATTTTTGGAAGTATTACCTTCTTTTTGTATAATATCCGGTCGATTACGGGGTTTGATTCTAGTTGAGCCTTCATCAACATAGAAAAACAAATTATCAACTTTGTGTAGGAGTCTGAATTACATACTGCAATGAACTGGGAACAAAGTAAAATGCATGGCATCTATAGTTAGCACAGAAGTAAATCTGACAAGCTATCTATTACCTTCCTTAGAACCAGCAACTTGACGGACTTGGTCCACTCCTAAATCAACTTGAACTAAGGCTGGATCTGAACTATCATCGATCACCTTCTTTCGTTTCTTTGCCATGTCATCTCTTTCTGACCCTGGTATACTAGAATACGCTTGAGAGTAATGAGTTCTCTTTCGATTTCTAGACGACTGGCTTCTTAAATGTTTCCAATCATAGTTTCTTCCATCCAACAAGTTTCTCCAGAAAACATGCGACTCCTCTCCATCTTCCAACTGAACTTGTGCCTTGCCATACATGGGAATGCCCCCATTATAGCTCCCGACACCCAATTTAACTTTTGAAATAACAGAATTCGGATTGGCATTTTCGGAAAGTATGGCCTGAAACTCCTTGACAACTTCACTCAAAAGCAGCTGCCCAGAAGGATTTGAAGCCGAATCAGAGGCGCCATTAGCATGATACTCATCTAACCTGCCGAACAGATGTGCGGCACCCCAGGAGAGAAGACTGTCACTCGCGGTACGGCAAAAATTTTGCAAATTATTGTCGAGATTCAAGTTTTGCTTTGCCAGAACTAAGGCCTTTTCTTCAACAGTGAAGGATGAATATAACCTGAAAACTTTGATCTGCTCAGCCTTCGAACCAAGTGATAGCTTTTGCAGGGCTCTCAAATCGTTTGCTGGATTCCAGTCACTATTATATATGATGACAAGATCCAGTGAGGAAAGTTTAATGATTGGCGAACAAGCACGGGTTTCCAACAGAAAAATAAACTGCCCGGTCTCCTTCTTGTTAAATCGGTTCACAGCAGCTTGCTTTTTGGAAGGGTTGACTGATTGTTCAATGCGTTCGTAAGTACCTGGATTAAATCTTTGCTGAAGAAAATCGTCCAGGAAATTTCCGATTGGCGCTCCACTAACTGCCTGCCAGAATATGGGAAGATAATCATTATTATAGATCCGTGTAGGACATGTAAATCAACCAATACAAGCAAAAAGAAGAAAGGTCAGATGCTCAGGCTTCTTAAAACAGTACTGGTTTCTTTGGATGCATGCAACTCTTCAAACAAGCGGAAAGATCATGTTGTCTAGAGCAAGCTGGCATATCATATGTCGATTCAGATGAATCTGGTCAGGTCTATCTTATTTAATATGATATTACTCATAAGATATTCTTCGACATTCTTGCAAAATATTTTCCTTATATAGGTAGGAGATACTCCTGTATTATGCACATTGTGTTTGCAGCACAAAAAACTATTTCCACTTCCCTAGAAATCTTCAGGACATGCACCTATATCAGAGTCCAAGCAATAAAGGGGGCAAAGACGAGCAGCATAACTAAATAATATACTGTCCTTGACAAGACATGCACGCTCTCATTAATTTTTTTGACATACCTGGTAAAGTATAAGTACTTGTAAGCCTCGACTACGGATCTCGGTGAGCATCTTCTCAAGAAGTTCTAGTTTGCCACTTGCTTTTATTCCAATCTCCAAGATCTCAGGCAAAGGACGTTTCTCAGCAATCAAGCACTCTTGTACAAATAAGTCCAGAAGATACGGGTGATCGCAACACTATCGACAAATACAAGCAGTCAGAATTTCATACTCATTAACAGCATAAAGTATCTAAACAAACAAATTTCAATTTACAAACATAAAAGAGGAGGGGCAAAAATTTCATTAGTGACAGCTAAACCACAACCATATACATAAATCCAACCCTTAGCCATCACAAGCGATGAGTGTATGTTTCCATTTGACATGTAAGAGACCATGTGCCCTTGTCATAGTCATGGTCTTTGTCTTTGAGATGAATACTCAAAAACACTAAGTTTTAGATACAAAACTGCATAAGCAAGAGGTATGTCCTACTTTCTTTTAAAAAGAGTAGAATGTGTAGCAGTATAAGTGAAAAATGACATACAACCAAACCTTTCGAGCAGCAAAAAGAACATCACGGAGTGCCCCCACCAGGTCAACTTTTGAACAGGAACGAAGATGGACCGAGTTATTAAGAAGCGTAGCACAATAATGCTCAAGCTGATAATTTGATATCTGAACTGGTACCCAATACTCATGGAACTTAGACATTTGAAACTTGCTTCCATATGCAATAAAACGTGACAATCGATCTTTCATTTTACACAGATTGTCATTTGTCTCGGATTTCAAGCCCCTCAGTTTGTCAAGATCAGCATGAGATTCAAGCAGCGATAGCATTTTAAGGTATTCAGATGTTGTATCCTGAGAAGTTCAAACAGGAAGTTCACCAATAATACTATGATAAACAAAAAGATTGGCACCAAGGGGAAGGATATACCTTTATTTGACCACTGACCAAAAGTATCCTTGAGTTTGTACGCAGCATTTTAAATTTTTCAGGATCATTTGATACCCCAAATTGCTGATAATCATCAATTACAATTGCTTCCCACTTTATGCTCATTAACTTGTCCAGATCCTACATGATTTGATTGAAAGCATGTTAAGGAAGAATAACACAAAAACTAGCAACTGTACCACATAGTTCTTTTTTAATACTTCTGGTCAGGTCCCAAAAGAAAAATTATATCATAAAGCCCTACAGCACTATTCATTTCCGTCATTGACACCATGGTCAACACAGTCCTACTTTGAAATATTGAAGTGAAAAATACATGAAATACATCATTAAAATTTATATTTATTGGGAAGACACACACCACGGCCTAGCTGGGTACTTCTGCCTCTAAACAGTACAAAAGCTGAAGGGATCTCCTAACCTCAAAAACAGCTTCTACAGAAGACAGGAGTACTTGGAGCATCAAAAAACCACCTTCATCATAAAATTCTGCTGCTCTAATCCCCTTCCTGGTGTCTTTGTTTCCACTGTATACCACAACATCAACAGACGGCACCAGACGTGCAAACTCATCTTCCCATTGAGACAATGAACTTGATGCCGTGACAAATAGGAAAGGCCGGAAAATTTCACCCATAGATTGAAGGAAAAACAAAACAGTCGTTATTAGATCCTGCACAATGAATAAAAGATCAATTGTAAATACTACAAGTCTAAAGTTTCATAATTATAACAACAGCAACAGCAATAAATAACTCTCCTCAGTTCAGTTATCTAGAACCAATATCTATTAATACCAACCTCTATTTGAGTCAAAGAACATCTACCTTTACCCGAGAACATCAAGGAACCAAAATGGGTACACAATCTCAATTCTCTAAGATATTTCAATGCATCTCAAACATACATGTGGTTGTAACAGCCAAGATACTTGAACACAAGTTCTATACAGAGAGAGATCATGCTTCACAATGAAATAGCCATGCATAAGAAGTCATGAAGGCGTTAACCAAAAAAAGCTAACTTGAACCGCTATTTAATTTTTTCATTCAAAAGCCAACTCCAAACGCTACTACCAGCACAGGCTTGGCCGTAATAAAGCTAACTTGAACCGCCATTCAAACGTTTTTCTAAGCTGGTTGAAAAAGTTAAAACAGCTAACAGGTCAAAAACCCTGATTCTTCATCAAAAAGTCATTTACCAAACATGGCCATAATCCTTAACACGAAAGATTACAAGAAATTGAAAAAACTCAAATATATCAGTAGCTTGCAAACATCATAAAGAACCATAAGACATTATAACCAAAAGAATACTTCAAACTCTAACTAAGCAAAATACAAGCTGCGAGAATTTTCATGATGTCAAAGAGTTGCTTTAAAATGGATTACACTGTTGGTATCAGAGTGCACTTGTCGTGAACAAAATATATCTACTCCAGGGGAAAGGCAAGAGAACTATAAATGTTTAATAGCATCCTGATTCTTTATGGAAACAGACATGAAAAGACCAGCTGACAATTAAAACTGTAGATTTCTGGATTCATAATGTTGTCGAAACAAATTTTGTTAACAGAAATTGCTATAAGAATCAATAAAAGAATGTGTTCAATTGATAGCAAACAACATCCAACCACAACTTAATAGGGCAAAAGCCATGCAATTATGTGTAGACCAAGACCAACCTCATAAATATACTAATAGTAAAAGTAAAAGATTATTAGTAAAAGAAAAAGGAAAAAATAAATTATCAACAAACAATACAGTGCTAACCTGATCATCAAAAACGATGACATTTTGGCATTTGAACAAAAACTGGCGCAGCTTATTTACATTTTTCAACACATGGTTATCGTTTCCCACTGACTCACTGGATGGAAGCTCTGAAAGTTCGACAAGAGGTCCCTTTTTACGCTGCATTGCCATCAAAGATCACAACAGTCAACGAGATCATGCTAGCTGAACCATTACGTATACCATATCTAATCCCAACAGTTTATATATAGTCTATGCTATTGCCACCATATCTCTTCTCTGTAAGTCTTGTTCCATGAAGTTAGGACTCATGCAGTTGTTCTGTGTCTAATAATCCTTGCCCAAATATGTTTACCCAACCAGTTAGCTGTTATAAGATAACTAATCAAACCAGTGAACCTGATTGGATTTAGTTATATTATCATGTAAAGTCACCATAGCAATGCACAACAACAAGAAAAAGGGAAAGACAAATAAAGATCCAACACCCAAGGATATTCTAGCCAGAACTTCAACTGGAGCATAAATTATAAATTCAGAAGCAGAGCCCAGGTAACACAACTACGCAAGACGTAGTTAAATATGAAGTCAACATAATCATTAATAATTTATTAAAACAACAGAATTGCCCATGTGTCCAACGAAAATCCAATCTAGAACAACATTTTCACACTCAAAACATAAATTCAATATTTTATGGCATATTGATTGCGACCAGAGCAGTGCACCTGATTAGCTTCTTGCTTAGCCCTTTCACAACGATTTTCATAATCCTTCATTAGATTCTGACCCAGAGGCGAGCTCAGCCATGAGGCATTATCCAACTCCCATGTAGCATGGTCATAACCAAGACCATGCCATTTCACAAGCCATTCATAATTGCATACCGAAATAACAGAGGACGAAGCTACATAAACATTATCCAGAATAGATCTTTTCCTTAGCAAGCGATGCGGTTTTGTCCACTCAGGATTCCACCTCACTAACTGCAGAGACAGAAGAATAAATTACAGATTAAGCTATATTGATCATATTTTTGTTGTCTAGTTATTTAGGCAATCCAAATAGAAATCTGCGCAAAAAGTAACTTCACCAAATTTTCTTCAATAAAGTTGGAGAAAATGCAAGACTTTTCAAGAAGCAGTTGTTTCTCCGAAGCCCAGTGGTTATGAATGTGAGCAAGCCCATGGTATTTAATAAGATATTGTTTCTGCCGAACTCCTGTGATCAGTACAGAGTAAAAGTGAGAAATCTGAAACAATGCCTACCGATGTTGCAAATACCAAATGATCTGTTAGCATTATAATATCATAATATATTGTCACAGTATAATGAGTTGACCTCGAAAAATTTAGTCTCACTATGCACGTTCATAAAAGATAAACAAGTCAAACCATTACCATTTGATACCTCCACTTCTGCAACATCCCAAATTGACTCGATTCCCTCTGACACAGAGTGAACACCAAATAGAAGTTTCTTCTTCACACATTGGGGACAATGCCATACACCAGGGAGAGCCTCAGTTAGTTGGGGATCTATACAGCTGATATGATAGAACCTCTTGCAACCTTTCCCCTCACAGCACCTGCAAATATGTTAAAGGCACATATTCTAAAAAACTCCAAGGTAAAAGAAAAGAACAGACAAGACGATGAGTTTCACCATTTCAGTAACTGATCTAGATGTAAACAAAAAAAATCATGCAATTAATATCCAAAGGAAATTAACTAATTACTCCTAACCATTGGGGACTTGGAATATGCAAATATTAATTAAAATTCATATCATTATCTATATTGCATAACTAGTATCGGTAGAAGATAGACCAAACAAAGTTTTACGCACAGGAGCTCGCCACTTTTGTTGCACAGGACACACACATTTTCATGACCATCCTTATGAGAATCTGCAAGCATCTCTGTTAGATCTCTGGAGGCACATTTTTCAGCAGTTTCTGAGGTAACAGCCACTTCGTGATTACTTCTAACCTAATTTACAACATATTCCCAGAAAAACGGCATTATCACATTTATTAGTGGTAGTTCCAGATATTTAAAGACATAATAGAATAATAATCATTACCCAAAAGGCACAGGTTCATCCACGGAAAAGAGAAACAGATTGCTGACAGCTGACCCAAGATGAAAATAACACAATCACATAAAACAAACCAGAACACTAAGTTCGACCAGATTGATCTAATATACCCCGGGAAGAGAAATTTACAACGATATTGTCCCAATTCTCTTCAGCTATTAAGTATATGGAGTTCCCCTGCAACATAAGCAACTCCAATATATTGGCTCAAAGTTACTAATGCAATAGGCGACCCTAGCAGGACATGTAATGAACTGCATGACGCCCTAGGTGGGAAAAGACAAAGGACTAGGCATGCAAGGGGACAGCAAGTAGAAAGCATATAGTACACTTGCATTCTTTTAAAAATCAACTAGCAGAAAGAAAAAGATCACACCAAACAATAGTGAAGCAAATCGGAAACTGAGACCAATCACAAGCTTGTGCAAACTAAAATAAATAAAGAAATCAACAAGACAACACCACATTTAGAAATGTCTATCACCCCCTGTAAAGGCAATGCTTAAGCACCAGAAAGGTGAAAATCATCATATGCCAAGGTGTGAATAAGTATGGATGTTACATATAGTAACTATATAACAAAGTTTTAGATAGACATCTTTTTCCATATTGGAGAACCCATGAGGAGAAACCAGGTTATCTGCAATCAAAATGTGGAAATACTATGTGTATATATGCATAAGAAATTTAATAATTATATGAGAAATATGGATAAATCTCATTGATTCTCATCATTACTATTGGGCTTCAGTATTTATGGTTACATGGCATTTTTATTTTTATTTTTTTCTCTAGTTAATAAATTCAGGATTCCATTTATGTAACCAGATTTGTTCTCCTACATATTACAAATATATTTGTATGTACATCATAAAAAAGGAAGAATTTCATATTTGCACATGGTATACAGAGCATTGTTACGATCTGGGAAACCTAATCATTCTTTTTTCATTCTTATTCCTTTTTCCTGTAATCATGATCTTCATCATGCCAAAAATTGGAGTGGTACTTCAAACCTCAACCATTATATCAAAAGGATCATTGGGGTCCGGATCCCTTATCACCACTCCTAAACTAAATGGACAAATCTATCTTCACTGGTCACGTCAGTGTTAATGTTCAACACTGAGGAAGGAAAAGATTACCTTTCTAGTGAAATTCAGATGGTCATGTCGTGGCTGATAAATTTCCATGAGCAATGACATAGGACTTATAGGAGAAAATTTTCCCTATGGCACTGCAAGAGAAATCTGGGATGTAGCAAGAGACATACTCTAGTTCTAAAAATTCTTCAAAATTATCCATCTGGAACTCTACCACATGATGTACAACAAGAAAATGAATCTTCCGCTCATTAATTCAATACATTAATTCGATTTGGCAACAAATGGACATTTTTTATCTTACAAATGGAAGGGCAAAGATGATGATGTCCTGTATCGAAAGATTGTAGAGCAGAAACAGATTTGCAAGTTTTCACTTGGACTCAACTAGGATCTTGATGATGTCTGAGGAAGAATTATGGGAACAAAACCACTTCTTAGTCTCCGAGGTGTTTTAAAAGCATGCAGAGAAGAAGGTAGAAAGAAAGTCGATGGGAATGCAAGACCGTCTCAACAAATCTATTAGCACCACAAGGTTCATCCGTTGCTGCACGGACCATTATAAGTTGTTCATAGAATTCTAAGATATCTGAAGGAGTTATCCTGGGGAAGGTCTCATTTTCTGGAAAAGTCATGCCAAGATATTGAAGTATATACAGATGAAAGCCATTTTGAAAATGTCTCAGGTGTTCAACAATATGTTTGGGGAAATATTGTTGCCTGGAGGAAAAAAGCAAGCAGTGGTGTCACGAAGTAGTGCAGAATTCGAGTTCAGATCATCAGCCCTTGGTATGTGTGAAGGAATTTGGATATAACAAATCTCAATATGACAAAATACCAGCCAGTCAAACTATTTGATGACAAATTACCGCATTTTTTGAGATGCTGATCACAGACATGATAGAATAAAGCATGTTGAGACAGATCGTCGTTGCAGAGCCAATATACATCTCATGTCAACATCAAACAGCTGACGTACTCACCAATCCAGATTTGAAGAACTTAGTTACAAGCTGCGCAATCTGTATAACCCAAACTTATAGTGTAGGATCACCAATATGATCGAACTTATTAGTAATGGTCTAACGCTAGACCTCCTACACCATGTTGGCAAACCTTGAGAAGAAAGTCGAAAAGGGAGAAATCCAAGACGAATGCGTAATAGAAAAAATAGTAACATGGATAGAGGTATCTCCTATAGGGTGCAAATATTTACTGTGCTTATAATAACTAGAATATGCAATTTTGATCCATTTATTTTACAGACATCCATTGTACTAATGAAACCAACACAGTCCATCCAAAGCATACTTCAAAATTCTAAACTTGTACAAGGATTCTTGAGACTCTTATTATAGACTTGAAAGCTTTCCATAGCTATTGAAGTTTCCCAAGCTTTGATTATGTAGTTCAAGTTAAGTTTCAAAGCCTCCTGGTGGCTTAGAACATAATAATTATAGCCACCAAACTGCTTAAGAGGTGACAATAATGAAAGCAAAAATATTGAATCCTGGTAGGTATATATCATCCTACTCATTTGTAATGCCAAAAGAAAAGGACCAACCTTACAAGTAGATAAGGTGCCTTGGTCCATGTCTACTGCAGGACTGCACGAGCAAAGTTCCTGCTCTGGTGAATTATAGCCAATCCTGTACCAAAAGTTGAAAAAAAGAAATAGAAAAGTCTTACAATCACCCATTCGAGCACTGTAAATAAGGTTGAGCAAGTTTGCCATTATATAGTATAAGTTTCAGAAAAAAAAAAAAATGTCAAAGAACACCTTGTACAAACATCCAAGAAGCTTAACTCATCAACCAAATGCACCAAAAAGTAAATAGACTCCTCCAATAGTAACAAATTCACACCTAAACCTATATTGTTTCCCTTTCAATTTCTGTGAGCTTTTTCAACTTTGTTTTCACCATTACAGCAAAATGGAAACTTGTATTTCAGTCCAATGATTGCCACCAAAAATAGGACGGTTGACAAAGATGACGATAAATAATGACAATGGGAAAGACAAGGCTAAGAATGTACAAAGAAGAAAAATAAATAAATTATTAAATTTATACTTCATTGATCCAGATGAGAGTAGGTTAGAGTTATTTTCAAATTTTTCATGCACAAAAGTGGGAAAGGTTACAGAATGACAACCAAGAAGCAGTAAAACCTATACCCATCACTTACATTGGGACTCCTTGATAAAACCACTTACTACATCTTAATTTATACTATATGTCGGCATTTGACGCGAGAATTCTTCTGTTAACATAAGAAATATTAGAGTTCTCTATCTCACAAAGACACAAACATGGAAAAACAAATCTCCACTAGACATGAAAATGCAGTTAAATTCTAGTGCAGAGAGGAAAAGCCATCATCGTTCATCAGAAAATACAATCACATGCTCCACATTTCCTACTTCCTAGTGTACAATCATGTAACACTTTAATCATTTGTCATGCCTCGAGTCCATCAAAGGGCCCCTCAGAAGCGACTCAACCAATGACCCCTCTGCACTTCATTTCAGCTCATTTAGAAACCATATAGGTTTCACATAGATAGACATCTGCTGCAGTATATTTTATGAGTATCAAACTCTACACAGTTTGTAGAATGCTTCTGGAATTTCTTTTACAGCACGGACGGAACCAATTGCAATACTGAAAGTGAGTGGGAATATTATCCATACAAATGTTAACAAAACGCACCTTTTATACTTGGAACAAAGAACACAAGTGCCCAGAAGATCACAGTATTCATACTTTGGTGATGGTGAAGGAGTATCCCCCGCAACTGACATGAAACAGATGTTTACCGTTAGTTATTTACAAGTAAGATGAGATCTAAATTACTATAGGCCATACAGTACCATCTCCCATTGTCCCCAAGCAAGTTGAATTTTCAGATTCAGAAGCATCCATATCATCATCAGAAGAACAAATTGTTGGCAATCTTTCTGGAAAATCAGGCATTTCTCTGACACTCGAATTGGTATTGGGGTGGTTTGAACAAGGTTCATCCAAAGCTGTGTCTCTATGGCTAGAAGCCATATTAACATTATTTTGCATGTCTTCGTGATCTTTTTCACGCGGCTTGTGAAGAGCTTCACCAGAAGCTTTATCAATATCTATGCTTTCATCTCTTGAATCACCCACTGCCCTTCTACTGAACTCATGAGGACCAACCACTCCATTTCCCATTGGTTCAGAGTCAGTGCCTCCGCTATTGTCACTGCAAACATCATCATCCGACAGTTTATCTCGTCCTTCCAGCCGCCGTTCACCATCTAATGAAGAATAGAACGAAAAGCAAAAGAACACGTGTCATGAGGCGCTAGTGGAATAATTTAGAGAAACAGCGGATGCCAGAAAGAAAATTGCATAAAAATTATAATGGTGAAAAAATAAAAATCCACTAGCTGACACAAACAAGTGCACTACCCGGCACAATCTTGATGCGCTGACTTTTGAACAGGGCCATGTAGGACCGCGAGTTCATATTTTTTCTCTTCATGCCAACTTCTGGGTCAATTTTGGCCTTTTCAGATTCCATTGTCACCTGAATTAAGTTCTTCTCTTTCTTGCTCTTTGAGTCCAGCGGACTGAGTCCTTTTGAGGTTTTTTTAGACCCAGAAGATTCAGGTGAAAAGTCATTCTTACCTCTGACAGACCTCCTCACAGGTCCGACAGGACTTGGCGTGTTTTGTTTTTCCAGTCTCTCGGATTTCCGCTTTGTGGGAGGAGTCGAAGGTGGGGTCCCCTTCTCAATACGCTTGGATTTCCGAGGACTTGGTGCCGTCACTCTAGCGGAATCTGATTCTTCTCGAGCTGATCTTCTTGCACCAGAAGCTTGAGATTTTCCAGACCTCTGCATGGACGTATCTTTTCTTGTATCTGCCTTTCTTTTCGACTTACGACCATCACCTTCATCCTTGATATTTCTGGAAGATCGGGTATCACCGACCATCCTTCTCAGCTGAATTGACAACCGCATTGTTTGCATCATTACGCATTCAAAATAACAATAGAACTAATATGGATGGATAGGAGAATAATTGAGAGAAGATGGTGCAAAGAAAACTAAAAGCAAGTCAAGAACCGTAAATTAAATCAATGGGCTGGCCAGAACTTAGCTCCCAAATACCAATTCTTGGTACCAGCAGATAAGTTAATAAATTATTATTTGAAATAAGGAAAACGAAGAACGGCTAGCCCAACCCATATTCTATCAAGCTAATTTTCAATTATAACCGTACACTCCTCACGAACAGCAATATCCGCATGAACACCCTAAAACGAACAGGAATTACATACATTACAGTCATGGAGCAAATCCCACAACCACGCAGAACAAAACACAAAACCCTCATTCAATGCTTTAAAGATCAAAAGCCGCAATTAACCGATAGTAAAACCCAGAACTAGGAGAATTAGAAGGCAGTGTACCTTCAACACTTGACATGCAAAAACAAAGCCCTAGATTCTGGCGTGAGGAAATAGATATAAGCTGAATTCTTCTGAAATTTCGGAGGAATTTCTAAAATTCGCTTCCCATCAGCTCCTCCCGAAAAGGTTTCTTGTGCAGAGTTACCTATAGGAAGTTAGGAACTGTTAAAATTGATAATAATAATAATAATAATAATAATAATAATAATAATAATAATAATAATAATAATAAAATATAAAAAGGAACGAATAGAGGGCAGGAATGCGTTTTATCGGGCTCATTTGAAGCGCGCTTGGAGCTACTAGAAAGTTAGAACAACAACTCGCTCTGGATTTTTTCTTTTCGCATCTGCCCTTGCTCTTTTATTTATTTATTATCTTGTTTCTAATAAAAGACAAAAAAAAATTATATATATATATGGGATTTTTTTAGTTACTTAAATTCTAACTTTTAATCAATATTGGTGCAAACATTTCAAAATTAATTCGTCAATTTCAATTAATTATATATAACATTGAAGATTTGGACTCAATCTATTCATAAATAATATCGTATTTAAAATTTTTCAGTGTTCTAGAAGTCGCTAGGCGCCCGCTAGGCGTTCGATCAGCGCCTAGCGCCTAGAGCCCCTAGACAGGGCCGAGTCGGCGCCTAGGCGGGGCCTAGAAATCAAAACTAAATACCTTATTTTATATTTATTTTCACTACATATAAAATAAAACTATCTAAATTTATAATAAATCAACACATCTAACTTCTAAGTCCAAATAATAATATTAATATATTATAAACAAAACATGATAATAAAATAATGTAATTAGTATTTAAAAAAATTCCGCCGAGCCTGCCTAGGAGCGCCTAGGTGGCGCCTAGGCGTCCCAAACCGCCTGGTCGCCGAGTCTGCCAAGCCCGTCTAGGTCCGCGTAGGCTCGCCTAGCCGCCTGACCGATTTTTTCAGCCTATTCATGCAAATCGGAGGCGGCCCGGCGGCCTAGGGCAACTTTTAGAACAGAGAAATTTTTCGGCCAAAATGTGTCTTAAGATTTGACCGAATGCTACGAAAAATCTCACTATTTGATTTTTATGACCACTGTATGTGTACAACGCTACGTTCTTAAAAAAGTCAACAGAACTTCCGGTCATCAATCAAATCTCCCAATCGTTAGAAATATTCCGAAGAAAAAAAAATCAATTCCCGAATGTCGTAACTTGCCAGAAAACTGGAAACTTCGACGTGATATTGTCGACGATTGAATGATTTGATTGATGATTGATATGTACCATTGATTCCTCAAGAAATATTTTTCTATATTTATATTTTTTCATAAATATCCCAATGGTGAGATCTCCAATAAAATTCGGGCAAACTTTAAGGTGCATTCTAGATGATTTTTTTAACTTGAGCAATGTATTTTACGAACTTCGAGGTATTGTATGCTAAAATTAAATGTATTGATGGATAGGTTGAGGCGAGATCTTCCAAATGGTATATAATTTGTTGAAATTTGGACATTTGAGGCAGCGGTGGCGGAAGCGACAACTGTCGACTTTAATCAAAATTTTAACAGTTAACCAAAAGTGATTGATTTTGAAAACACTAAACTAACTATATTGAAACTTCCGGTACCAAAAATAAAAACCAAGTAACTATAAGTGATTTTTTCCTTTTCATAAACATAATCTTGTTTTCCCCTCTATATAAGTGCGATCGGATATAACTTATTTCTTGAAAGTTTTTGTTTTGTCAAAAAAATTAGATAAAATTGTGAACAAGTGAAGTAAATTTGAAATTATGAATGAAAGGCAAGAAACCTTTAGGTGTTTGAAAGGCAATGGCAACAGGAAAGGTGGATTTTAGAAGCAGCAATGAGGGACTGGCTAGATTTTAATGCAGCAGCTTGAAGTTAACTTGAGGTACCTCAGAGGGAATTGGCAATAGGCTAGGTCTAGTGTCAGTGGTCTATGTGTTTGATCCTTTTGTTGTATAGTTCATTATGATAGCTGTTTGGATGATGTGTGTTAGTTTCATGATTGTATTGATCTCATATGTATGGTCTATGATTGGTATTTGGACTAGTTTCGGTTAGGCAGCTTGGTTAGCTAGGCCTCCCAGTTACCCAGGAGTAGGGGATTCCCCTTTGTACATTGTTGTTTTTATTTTAATGGAGATCTTATATCGTTGGAAAAAAAAAAAAAGAATGAATGTCTGATAGAAATGTAATAATGTAAAAAGAACAAAAATTGTAGTCAATCCCAGCTATTTGGGAGTAATTTAGAGTAGGGCTGGTAATTTTTTATCGAAAACTAATAATCGAACCTAATCGAACCGAAACGACATGAAAACAAATCGAACCGACTCGTTTGTAACAGTAACCGATTATCGGTTACCGAATTGGTTGCTGATATATGTGTCCTAGAGACAATCTTTTTGAGGACATATATACATGATCACATTAATAGTTATATTGGATTATAATTATGGTATTGCAATTAAATAAACAATTGTTTGATTGTTTGAAATTTATTAATTAATTGCTCCCTTGAGTTAATACTGTTAACAGAGTGAGATGTTAATTAATAAAGTATAACTCTCAAATAGCCTCAATTGATGATCATTAAGAAAGGGATATTAATGATACGCGATAGATTGACATGTGGGCTGCATCACATTCTTAGAGAATATAGTATGTCTCACTACTATGAATAATTGTTATTCGTGATGGACACATGGATACTTTGGAGAGTATTTGTATACTCTACCGATAAACTATTTGTTTATGTGTCTATGGAAGTATCGGTGTGTGGAATGGTGTAATAGTCCTTTGACTTGAGGTCAATACGCAATTCATGGATAGAGTGGTTTACTTAGACCTAGTCCAACGTTTACGCCCTTATGAGTAGATATGGGCTTGTGTTGGGGGTAGGTCACGATATACATGGAATTGGTAGTTGAGCCAAGATATGATTCATTCCTCGAATATAGTTTCGAGAGAACACTCGTTTTTTCTATACTGGGTTGATAAAGTCATTGGCAAATGCACGTGATTATATTTGAAATGGTGTTCAAATATAATTGATAAAATCAACCAGTAAGATGAGATAAAATGATTAAGCCGTTTGGATAGACACACGTTCAAATCCTAAGCTTAATCGAGTGTTTCGTGAATGAAGAAATCGTATCACTATTGAATTCTACACCAAATGTTTGTTTGCTTTGTTTATGTAAACGTACTTCATATTTTGAGTTTGTCCTTCGACACAGTCTAGGAGTTTCATAAGGATCATAAATTAGAGTTATGTCAATATATGAAGGCCTATAGGGTCACACAATGTGCAATCTATTTTCCGGCTAAGAGTGAATCGAGAGTGTTAAATATTCCATTGGATTGGAATATTTATTTATGAGTAATGAAACCAATTTCTATTTGATAGAAAATATTTAATTAAGTTAATTTAGATTTATACTGAATTAAATTGTTATTGGATTAAGTCCAATTACCTATTGGGCCATAGGATCTCCTACGGCCCATGTAATTAGGTTTGACCTTATTATAAATAGGTCATTATCTCATGGTAGTCTTTGACGATCAGTAGATGAGAAAATGAGATACGCCGTAAAATACAAAACACTCTCTGGCTTTCTGACTAAGGATTCCAAGCGTCTTCACCGGAAAGGATTCATTGCATTGGATCGTGCACCGGGATCTGGATTGCGTGGATACCATAATTGAAGACAAATCTTAAACTGTAAGTTTTCGTTAATTATTCACACGATCTAGGATCATATCGAATAGGTATAGCCGGATCTTCGTTGTTGGTAAGAAAAGTTTTAAAATTCCGCTGCGCGTGCGATTGATTCGTACGTCTAAAATCCAATATTGATATCGGTTCGGTATCGGTTTCAAACTCATATCGAACCAAACCCAACCGATAAGGATTAAAAAAATTTATTAGTTTATATTTTAAAATAATAGCCAATTAAGGCTACATAAGTAACTTAATTAAGTAGCCTTAATTAAATATTAGCAAATTATATATTTAAATTAGTTAAATAAAATAATAAATTAAGATACAATAATATATAACCTAATTAATCAGTCTTATACAAACTTGCGTATCACATTATTATACCGAACTTAGACAAAATAAATAAATGAATAAATCAACCTTTTAGAGCCTCACACATCCACTGACAAAATTGCAATTAAAGCCNGTATTTACCAATTGGAAATGTTTTTGTACGAGCCACAATAATTTCACCATTATTTTAATCTCGCCCCTTCCTTCCGTTAGTTTAATCAAAACGGCCAAACCGAAAAAATAAATAAAATAAAATAAAACCGTAAAAACAAAAGTTTTATTTTTTTCTTCCTTCTTTATTTCTTACTAATTAGAACAATGTTGTTTTTTTATTTGTTTTTGGTTTTTTATCGGTAACAAATAGAAACCGGACGTGTTTTTGGTTACCCAGTTATCGAATTCTAATGGGTTTGGTTTCGATTTTGCATTTTAGTGTTACTGAACATATCAGTTCGGTATCGATTTTTTCTTATCGGTTCGGTTACCGAACCGATACCAACCGTAATTTAGACTGCAACTAGATATAAGAATTTTTTGAATAAATTGGTGTAACACGAAAAAAAAGTAAGATGAAAACTTGGAGAAAAAAAATTGTTTTCTTAGAAAGAGATAAATGTAAGTTTGTGAATACATTTATATATCTGTTAAAATTCATGTGATATGAAAATAAAAAAATATGATAATAAAAAAATATGTGAATAGATTAATGGTGTTTTTGTTGGATAATGTATAATAATAGTTACTTTTTATTTTTATTTTAATTGTATTAGTGGGATTTGTAGAGAAAGTTTGAGATGAAATGATTAGTATTTTTTGTAAAAAGAAATTTTTTTTCATTTCAATGAGATTAATGAGATATGTTAACTGAACAAATAAAAAGAGAGCAAAAAATATGTATACAGTTTCAATGAGATGAATGGTAAACATAAAGGGAACAAAAAATATGTACCAGTCGCAACCTAAGTTGTTTTATGTTTGTGCAGTTTGTTTTCATGCATTATGTATGTGATGAGAATGTATGTTCCGACGCCTATGGACGCCAAGGGTCGAGAAAAGATGCGATCGGGCGGGGCCCACGAAGGTGCGAATTAATAGGCACATGACTGAAAAAATAT